AGGAATGAGGACAAGTATTGCCACATGTTCTGATTTTGTAGTAAAACCAGAAGTTTGGAGTTTTTAATGAGAAATGTGTGATAGATTTCATTGGATCACAGGCATCATAGATTGTAAGATATATCCTGAATTCAGAGAATTCCTATTCAAAACAGGATAAAATGGGCACCGTGGAATCAATGAAAAACACTAATCCAAAATTTCTAAAAATACTTATAGAGACTAAACAAAGCTACCATGGTGGTCTGTAGCTACCCTGTGTCTCAATGCAGTTTCACTGAAAGTAAAAGACATTTGTGGGTGACCCTGCTACTCTCCCGCAATGCTGCAATTTCTGCATTAGTAAGAGGGAAGCTAATTAGCACCTATATTACTCCTTAGTAAAAAACACATAAAGGCATCACTGTGCTACACTGAGGGAATACCAACTGGTGTTTTTATTAGTTTTGCTTATCTAAAAAGAGAAAGTATATTTTATTTTAAATGTTTAATTTTATAAGGAGAAGCACAAAAAATTATATTCAGTAGTTAAGATGGTAAATATATAAATATTGATGTGTATTGTACTTTATAAATGTACTGCTATTACAGAGAAGTAAAGGCAGGGTTGGCCTAATGAATCACACAATATGCTTTTATATGTTTGGTACATCACAGTAATGACTAGTAGTAACTATTAACCCAATTTATCAATAAAATAGTTCAGTTATATTTAGGAGTTTAAAATAATAGTTATTTAAAAAATTGATTGTGAAAGAACAGTTATCTGAGGATTCAAGATACTGCTGAATAAAGTGCTGTCTGTGGAATCATTCCAATATTAGTGAGACTGTCTGCTCAAGATAACTATAGCAGGATAAAAAAAAAACAAGACTCCACAAGTATTCTTGGCTGGAAAAGACCTTTAGCATAACATCTTACTCATTATCTACTTGGAAGGTAGAATGGTAGAATCAAATTACTCATTAAAAAAAAAAAAACATTAAAAAACATAGAGGACACCTGTGGTTTTGCCTGCCTGGATTCTCTCCTCTCTGTGCCGCCCCACCCCACCTCTCCTGGTCTGTATGATTTGATAGGGCTGACCCGATTCCACTGCTGTGATGGCCAAAGTATTCTATACCTACTCGTCCCCCACACTCACCAAAAACACAACCTAGTTCAGGGCTAGAGACATGATCTAAGCCAGGCTAAGGAGAGGAGTTCGAGAGTCTTCTGCTGGAGCTATGAATTTTCTTTTCCAATGAGTTGGGTAAATCAAACGGGTAAGTCAAAGCTGTTGGTAGCCATCTTTATCCCAACTGGGGAGAACTGACCTTGGAACAAAGCTAGCTTCAGCCCAATTTCTGGTAAGTGCTTGAGTACCTGAATCTGGTCATGAGTGAAGTTACACTAGCTCCTGGACTTTTTATTTACGTAAATCAATAAATTTTCCCCATTTTATTTAAGCCATTTGTGTTCACTTTTTGTAATTTGCATCCAAAAGTGTCTTGACTTCACAGAAACAATAGGTTCTGACAAAAACAAATATTTTCCAGAGTTAATTAGATGTATAATGGCTATTCATTTCATCAGCTCCTATGCTAAGGGTTTAACAAACATTATCTCATTTAATCACTGTATGAAAGTCATCAATAATAAAAAAAATTTAAACTAAAAATTAAAGAAAAATGCCAGAGCACACTCATTCACTGTGGAAAGATGTATCAAATGCAAAAATCAATATGAACTAGGACTACAGAAATAAGAATAAGAGAAAAAAAGACTTTTTCACTCTACACACATCTAAATTGTTTGATTTTTCAAAAAATAAGAATATTACTTCTGGAAGTAAAACATGCATAAAAGAGTTAAAAACAATATCCTTGAAAACTTACTTCATAGTATTCATATTCATCGAGGTTAAATGAGTTGAAATTAAGGAAGCCATACTGCATTGCCTAAAATCCAAAGGAAGGCTTTTAATAACAAAGATGCAAATAAGGAAACAGTTTCCAATCCAATTTCTTAATAATAAGTATCAGGAGGCACCCCAGAAAAACATTCTTATATTTAGATTATGTTCCATTGAGTAGTTTTCAAAGGAGGTGGGCTATGTCTTTTACATGCTTCCATTATCAGGAAAATTAGTTATAATAATATTTACTTTAATGAAATTTTATTTTTTATTTTCCTTCATCAGTCAGCCTATCCATGCAAGATCTAAATAATCAAGGCTTCAAAGTAATCCTACTAGTTTATTAGATCAACATCATTCAGGCTTCAAATATAATGCATAACCCAATGGTTGCTAAATAAATAATATAAAGGAAAGAAACCATGGGTTAGTTTATATCAAACAAATCCCAAACATTTCATAAACATCTTCACTTTCAAATTCTGAACAGTCTTGAATTAAAAGATTAATGTTCCCTATACTAAAGACAGCCCAGAGATCAACACTAAAATGCAAAATTTCGAGGGAAAAAACCCTTCTTTCAATAAGGAAAAATCTATGAATTTCCTCTTCTACTCTGTAGCCTCACTCTGAGTTGTAATGGGCAGAGCATGCTAAGCAAAATAAGCACAATATCTATTTTCTGAGATAAGGACAAGCTGGCAGCCTCTGACAACCGTTCTCCCAGCTTACTGAGCCAGACAGTATGTAAGCAACAATTCTTGATCAAGAAGGTATTCTTGGTTCAAAAGGGGTGATTCTGCAAACCCAGTGTGCAAAATGTAAACTACGGAAATATGAATGAGAAATAAGAAGGCTATAATACCAAACAAAAAGAACTCATTTTATAAAATATAGTTGCTTAAGTCCTAATTCCAAGACCAAACCCACGATGAATTTTATTTCTTTGAATTTGGAGTACCCAATATATGTCATATTTGGACTAGAATGATACATAATAATACAACAACAGAGTGATACAATAAAATAACAGAATGATACCATAAAATGTATCAGTTTGCAGGGAATTTCTATAATTTGAATTTCATAAGGAGACCCTATTAGAAGTAGCACTTAAAAAAAAGCACTACTAAAATCAAGACATAATTATTGATACATTTATAAAAATTTCAAATACACAATAATATTCAAAATCAGTCACAAACAGAAAATGTTTAAATGTAAAATCAGAAGCTGTTGTCTCTTGAATAAAATTAAATGTAGCGGGCTTCCCTGGTGGCGCAGTGGTTGAGGGTCCGCCTGCCGATGCAGGGGACGCGGGTTCGTGCCCCGGTCCAGGAGGATCCCGCGTGCCGCGGAGCGGCTGGGCCCGTGGGCCATGGCCGCTGAGCCTGCGCTCCGCAACGGGAGAGGCCACGGCAGTGGGAGGCCCGCGTACCGCACGCAAAAAAAAAAAAAAAAAAAATTAAATGTAGCATGAAAAAAGCAAACTTTGATCTATAGTTATAGCTAATTAAACTTTGGATATAACATCTGATAAAGACAAAGCCAATGTTATAGTAGACCATCTCCAAGGCCCTCATAAGTGTTTCTTCTTCTTTTCTTTCTTTTTTTTTAAAGGTGCTGGGAGCGGAGAAGGGAGCTCTAGGATCAAGGACAAGTATGCCTGGCTACATCAGCAGTTCCCTGGGGTCCATCTGGCAAGGACTGTAACTGTAACTAGAAGGGGTCATCTATACCTACTGTCCCCCCATCTCCTGATCACCTCCTCTGCCCATGACCTGCCTAAACTGTGGCCTCATGGAGCTGTCTCAGAGCCTGCAGCAACTACCTCCATCAGCTCCATACACCACAGAGTTGCTGGACTCAGTCCCAAAATTAAGGTCCATCCTCATTGCCTTATATAGGAAAAAAGATATAATAATTAATCTCTGAATTTGTATACTAATTAAGTCTCTCAGTTTAACCCCTAAAATTTCTGTCAAAATTCTCAGAAAGCCACCCTGTTCCATTATACAAGAAAGTAAACCTGGGTTCCTTGTGCCTCTGAAAATACAAGTCACACAAACTTGAGATGTTTTTGAAGGTTTATTTGATCCAAGGGCTACTGACTGACAATTCTAGTTTCTTGCACGGCCCTGATATTCAAGAAATATACCTGAGGGAGTGAGTGTTATAACCAGGGTCTGCTGCATCACATGACTCCAGGGAACCCTGTTTATTTAGAATGTGGTATGACGGTTGTCTCCTGGAGTCAAAGACAGCAAGTAGCCCTAGTTATAAAACACAGGAGTTATTTTAAAATAGCTTTGACAAAGCAGTAGTGACCTATACTTAGCATTATATAAAACCTAGTGACAAACTAATGGGCTACTCAAATACTTCTGTTGAACTAGAAATTGAATGCTTGAAGATACAAAAACAAAGTATTTGACAGTTACTGTGTTATAGAAATGTCTGTTGTAAACAGAATTGATGGGAATCAGACCCATAAAATACATAAATCATAGAGAACTTAGAAACCAGTAACCTATTTACTTCTTTTTTTTCTTTGAAATCATAACACATTCAAAACCAATTCTGAATTTAGAAGCTAATTACAAAACTTTCTTATTGTTCCCTGTGTTCAAGTGGCTTTTCCCCCAACTCATGCACAGAAGCACTCAGATTCAGAATAATCTGTTTTCTAGTTTAGTGTCATTCTAATGCTGGCAGGGAAATGTGATACCTCTCACATCATATACATCTTGGAAGATCTTTGGGGAAGAAGGCCTGTCTTCCTTGCACTGTACGTAAGTCCTCCAGCACAATACTGGGTGTATCCTACAAGTCACTTACCTTCTTTACTGCATAAAAACAGTCAAGAAGTGTAATGTAGAAATTGCAACTCCCATAGGCAGCATCTCTGAAATTCCAAAAGTATTGAAATACATAGCTCAGTTAATTTAATTTTCTGCTGTACACTTATCTCAAGACAAAGTTGATTAGAATTTAAAATCAAACACATACTCAGGATCAGTCTCAAAAAAAAAAAAGAATTCTTGCCTTTTGGTTTTTAAATAAAGGATAAGTCACTGTTATACAGTTCATTATAATTTCTACCTATTCCAGTAGATACTGTTTTACAGATGTGGATCAATAATGACCACATCTTAAATTTCAAATGATCTGTCTAGACTGTTTTTGGCTTTAATAGTTGAGCTTCAAAAGTTCCTTCTTGAGTTCAACTTCTCAATAGCATGTACTCCTCTCCTCAAAAGGGAAAGGCAGTTGATTTTTTTCTTCCAACTGGAGAATACTGTGTCAAACTGTTAGCAGGAAAGACTGCTTTTTGATTCTGTATATGCATGTTGTGTGTGCATGTGTTTATCTCCATCCACGTAGCAAAAAAAATTTGGAAAGCAAGATAATATTTGAATAATAGGTGCAAGCTAAAAAGCATTTTGCTCCTCTCATTATGTTCTTATACTTTTTAACAATTTAACTGGACGACTTCTTTCTGGTTCTTAAAGGACAACAGTACCAATAAAACCACAGAAACTAAGGAGTCAACTACTGTTAGGAGAATCACTCTACATTGGAGAAGTGCTTAAAATTAAGTTAGACAGCCCCACCCAACACTGCATCAACACCTGTTAGTAACCTTACTACAAATGTCTTATGTCAGTTAAAATTTTGTCCAGAAAAATAAGGTACTCCTCCATTCCCACCTGCTTCTCCTTTTTGGCTAACTTGAGTCATTTCATTACAAAGTAAAAATTTTAAGAATTAGGCAAGATAAAAATGAATTTTATTATGATCATTCTAGGCATGCCAAGCAACTGTGCCTATCAGAATGGTACTCATTTGGTCCCAGGTGGAACCAGGCTGCTATTGGAGCCATAATTAATTGCCTGCCGTGGTTGGGCTTTCACATTGTAATTCACTTACCTGAAAAATTAAGGCACATTTAAAATGTTTAGTTCTTGTACAAACTTTAAGAATATAGATTATTATAGCAACATTAATATCAAAGAAAAGGGCATCCTTTTTAGCTAAGACGGTTTTAGACATTACTGTCTGAATTGGTTAGATTTACTTCCGTATATGTTAGGCTTCATGAGGACTGGACGCAAGGCCTTACAACGTGCCATTTTTGTTCTGTAAGCTTTTGAATTTAAATGCTGCTCTTCCAAAAGCTAGGAAAGGTCTCAATGCAACCGAGAAAATGATTTTTACCAATAGCCTACTGGCAATATTCAGGAAGGAGAAAAATAAAATGACCTGCAGCATTAGTTCTCAGAATATACTCCCTGGGCAAGAAGCACCAACATGCACCCCACTTGTTAGAAATGCTAATTTCTCAAGCTCCAACCCAGACCAGTTCTAGGGGTGGGGCTGGGTCCTCCAGGTTATTGTGATATACGTTCAAGTTTAAGAACCACTGACTTACAGGATCAACACAAATAATGTTTTGTACAAGTAACTGTTTCATGGAATAAGGAATGTTTCTAAGATAAAGAAGCTAAGGTAGGAAAATGAAGTAGTTTAGTCTAAATCAAAATGATCAGTGGAAAGACGATGAGCTCTCAAATTGCATCCCAATGTTTTTCACCATGTCTCCTCAGTAAGCTATGATTAGTATCTTCTTAACTTATGATAATTCTTTTCCATTCAAGTTAAAGGCATGTTGATTCAGTTTTTGTGACAACTTGATGCATTTATTCAATGCATAACTTTGAATAAACCTACTGTGGGCCAAGCTCTGCTCTAGTCAAGCTTTGATCTGAGCTTGGATAAAGTTCTGCCACATTATCTGAATAGACAAGAATCTTTCTTTATTCACTCATGTTTATTTCATTAACACCTCCAACTTTAAACACATCCACACCTCCTTCCTCCCACCGAAGCAATCAGACTTCTTCAAAATGGTAAAATAGCAGCTATGAATCTGGATATAAGCCTTTGTGAGGGGAAAAACCTTGTCACAGATCATTTAACAAACTTGGAAAAGCAGATGAGAATCAATAAAGGAATACTGCTTAGAAACTGCAAAACAATGTCAAATACTAGTTTAAAAAAATAAGTTTTCATAGCAGCTTGCATTCATAACAGCCTAAAACTACTAATAACCCAAGTATCCATCAAAAGGATAATGGACAAATAAATTGTGGTATATTCATAGAATGGAATGTTACAAAAGCAATAAAAATAAGACAAACTATTAATACTAACACCTGCCACCACATGGATAAATCTCACAGACATTATATATTTAAAACACCAGATCCCAGCTCTCCAAAAATGTATACTGTGTGATTCCATTTATATGACATTTAAAGAAAAGAAAAACTTTTAGAAAGGGGGTAAAAGAGAATCTTCATGGGGGCTGACAATTTTCTGTATCTTGAACTGGATGGTAGTTACATGTAAATATGTAGGAGTTTAACTGTTCTGTACACATAGGAGTTAGAGTTTTTAATTGTGTCTAAGTTATACATGGTTTTTAAAAGGAAAAAAACATGAATGTTTAACAAATGTTATCTAAGGATCAGGCACCAAGTGCTTCATAAGCAGGATGCTACTTAATCCTCACACCTCATTAGGGTGATCCTACTATCATTCCCACTTATAGACTAAGAGACCAAGGCTCACATTTGTAAAGAACCACGGAGATATTAGTGGCAGAACGGAGAGTCAAACTCCCATCTGTCTGATGTCAATAGCCAAGCTATTAGCAGCTCTGCAATACTACCTCTCAAGAAAATAAAGAACAGAGTCCCCCCCAAAAAACCCAAAAAAACACACACACACAAAAACAACTAAGAATCAAGGAGTATTATAGGTAATACCAAAGAACAGAAGTATATGCTCTTCATATAACAATGATCCAAAAGTATTAAGAAAATGTTGAACTATATTATATACTGTTTTTTCAGGTAGACAGGTAGAGAAATATCTAATATAATTCATTAAGAAATCATATATATATATATTTTTTAAAACTCAGTGGTTGAAGAATTATATGTAACTTAAATTACATCTAATTAAATATTGCTATGAGCCTAAAAGGAGTTATTAAAGACAAGTGAACACTATTCTTGCACAATCCCTTGTTAGCAGTTATATTTATTCTATGCTCTTGAATTGTCAAAGATAAAAGACTATAGTGTAATTTCTGTCAAAATATTATCAGGTTTTATTAATCCTGATTTGCCTACTTTCTTTTTTTTCTTTTTAATATTTATTTATTTATTTGGCTGTGCCCAGTCTTAGTTGTAGCACGCGGGATCCTTGTTGCAGCGTGCAGGATCTTTAGTTGTGGCATACAGGATCTTTTAGTTGCAGCATGCAGGATCTAGTTCCCTGACCAGGGATTGAACCTGGGCCCCCTGCATTGGGAGTGTGGAGTCTTCACCACTGCCCCACCAGGGAACCACTGGACTACCCGCCTACTCTCAATTAGTAAGTTCTTCAGAACAGTAAAATGTGGTGAAGCACAGATTTTTAAATCTGTCAAAGGCTGATACTTTTGTAAAATACAATAATATTTGTACTATTACATACCCACAATAATGCAATAATCTTATATTGTAAGTAAAAATGAATTATTAGAAAAATGGAAGGAAAAAAACACATAAATACAAGCTTAAATTCTTCTATTATTTGATTCCACAGACATAAAAATAGTCTATTAAATTGCTAAAAAGTCTGTAAAATCTTACTCGTAATTCCTGTACTTATCACAAGCTGGTAACAAAAAGTTCACAGACTGGCACTAGTTCACAGGCCACACTTGGAGAATCATTAAATGTCTGGCATCTATGACTAAAGAGATTCAAATTTCACAAACCTGAACTGCTTCTAGCTAAGTCCTGTTTTTGTAGAGAATTAATGATTTTTGTTCCTGGAACCAGAAGCAACTAACTACATTTTTCATTGCCAAACTTTAAGAATTTAAACATGGGTATGGCAGTAAACAACATTTATTTTATTTTTGATCCCTGTATTTAAATTAACACAAAACTTCTCTTACATTAACAATGCTTCATGGATCCTTACTTAGATTATGTGAAATGTGTAAGCTTATCCCTGTTTCAGGACCTTGCATTATAAACTTTAAGAATGGCACTATTATTATAAAGGATTACTATTATAAAAGAAAAGTTCTGTAGAACAAAATTATCACTACAGCAATGTGCCTATGACTCAGGGACCACAAACACAATCATTTCTTCTGAAGGAAGTATACGGTTGCTGTTATAAGTTGAGAAGAAAAATGGAGCACTCTCCAGTTTAGAAAATAACCTTCAACCCTTCCTATCCACCACAAAGAATACTTAAGATGATCTCTGAGCTAGGAAGAAAGGCAGAGTGATACTGGGTCCAAAGCAATTCTTCTAATTGGCTAAATCACTAATATACATGCAGCCTTTAGTGCAATATATAACTGAACTCTGCAGACTATCCTAACAAAAATCTCTAATTCATGGAGTAAATCCATGGACAGTCCTACAGTTATTTAAGAAGGAGACAGATTCTGCATAAGATTAGGGACACTCACCCCAAAACTTGTCCACAATTAAGTCAGGTTCATAACCTCCCCTTTAAAGGCAAGCCCACGTCTTCAAAATCAGGCATTTGAGGTATATGCAACAATCCTAAAACTATTAACTAATTTGCAGGTGGAAGAATGATGCAATATTTGAAATTCTCAATACAGTATGCAATGAGTAAAATCATTTCACACACTTATTATACTTAAGCACCATACAAGTATTTAATTATACAGCTAAGTCAAGTGTTTTGATAAACAGGAAGAGCAACTTTTAGAACTTCATTTGATTTAAAAAAAAAAACAAACACAAGTTTTGGGGCTTTTTTTTCAAAATATCTTCAACACAATCACCTGGTAACTTTGACATAAGGATGAGGATGTCATTAACTTATATAAAGACATTACTTATCTACCACCTCTATGACACAGCCGTTTTGGTTTTTCAAGTAGTGGTGCTATATTAGCAACCTCACCCACTATTTCTGCTGGCTGTGTCCCTAGGAAAAGGGGATTCGTTTCTGCCCCAGACGTAACTCCTGATTATTGGGAAAAACTTATTTCTTAACTCCTCAGGACCAAAACTCCACAGTACTGGAAAACGGTGGTTTTGCATACTATAACTCCAGGATTCTCATCTGATTACAAAGCACAGTTTCCATCAGTGAGAGTGGTTCTGACTTCTCATGTCGGAGCGATTCACCACCACTACCACTAGCACCACCACAGACATCTGGCAATGTCTGGAGACATTTTTGGCTTTCACAATTAATTTTCTGGGGTGAAGGTGTTACTGACATCTAGTGGGCAGAGGCCAGTGATGCTGTTAAACATCCTGCAGTACACAGGACAACCCCCCCCCAACAAAATGTCAATAGCATCACTGTTGAGTAACCTAGATCTACGGTGTTATTTGCACCCACCTCAAAATAACTATTTATGAGGTCTTCTTTTTTCAGAAACAACTACACCAAGATATTTCTGGCAAGGGCCTGATTAAATGAATCTACCATAACATTCTTATATTTACCTGAAAGGAATATAGGATGTATCTCCAAACATTAATATTCTATATGCTTCTTCTGGAGTTTTCCCCAAATATATAACCTACATTTGAAGAGAGAAGAAAAAGGCAATTTACTTCTAAATAAAGATATAGTACTGTCACTGAGAAGTAAGCTTTGTACAATCTTTAGCCAATCAACTGAGCCTGATTCTCTAGCCTTCCCAAGGATCCTATGAGTTGCCCACTACCCAGTCAGTGAATTCCCCTTTTGTTTAAATCTGCTGTCATAGCTGGTTTCTGCTGCTTGCAGAGCCCTGACCAACAACTTTTTACAACAGCCTTTTGTGGTAAGAAGTAGAGCATTTCAAGAACAGATTTTCTAAATCAAGATGTTAGACTGAGCACATGCTTTGACCTCATGTCCTTTCTAAAAATACACCAAGATGATAGTAAAGAAGTGTGTGGGAGATGGGGATAGAGGATGGACTGGGACTGGGACTGGGGGGAGGATGAGAGCAACATAGAAGCAGAACAAACATTTTTATTAACTCCATCCATTTAGACTTAACAACTTACAATATTGTACGGGTTTCCTATAAAACTTCATTCGTTTACTATTGTCATTTGCTTCTTTTATCTTCAGAACTACATTATGCTTCCATTTTTATCTGGTAGAATACTTCAAGTGGATTCTTCAGCATTTGAGGTCCACAGTTGGTGGACCTTTTTGTATTTCCAAAGTATCTTGTTTTCTGCCCTGACATTGGACTATGTATATGGTTTCAGGTCTGTAGTCCTTTTCTCTCAACAGTTCATAGATGTTGTTCCACTGTCTTCTCATTTCCAGTATTGCAGAAGTATTTTACTGGTCTCATTCTCTTCTCCCCCTCCTCTTCCTCACAAGCAACCTGTTCTAGAAACTTGGAGCTTGAGAATGTCCACTGGCATCCCTCTAAATAAGTCATCCCCCTAAATAAGTCATCCCCCAGCCCCAATTAAGTTTGCCTCGGACTTTCTGACCCTCACTCTATCCGAAGGCACATCTTTTTCCAACTCAGAATCTTCTGGCAGGACATTTTCCACCCATACATGGAGGCAAGGGGTGAGAGAGGCCACAAGCATTAGATTTGGCACACATATTATTACCCAAATTCAATTCAATTCTTAAGCTTACTTTGGGAGAAAATACACTTTAAATTTTGACCAGTAAAAATAAATAACTAAAAAATTTAATTACAAACTTTTTATCTCCATTACTTAAAATTATATAAATGAGCTGTTTCTTCAACAAAATTCTGAAGTAAGAACCCATGTCTTATGTTTCATTGTAACTCCAGATTCATATTGGGTTAGCCAAAAAGTTCATTCAGCTTTTCCATCCCATCTTACAGAACAACCAAATGAACTTTTTGGCCAACCCAATACCTTTTATGTGGACTCAGATTCGATCCTTAATTCATTGAACTTAAATCTACTTATAATAGGAAATTTTAAAATAATTGATAAAAAGTTAATACAAATATATCATTGGATTAAGAAAAATTATAAAAATCAAAGATCCAGCAAGAATCTGTGAAACTTAGAGAAGGATATATCTTAAAACAAGTCAGCTTCCAGAGGGCATTTTATCAATTTTGTTTTAAGACTCATAAATGGAAATGTTTACCCTGTTTCTGAAAATGATTTTATCCCATTTACTCTAATAATACAGAACTATAATTAACTATACAGAATTTTCTAACATTTATCTATAGCAGCATACAAACCCACAAAGAACAATCAATCCCAAGAACAAAGGAATGCCTTCTTACCTAGTATCAAACAAATTTTCAGGTACAATATTACTGACTCAGAGAAGGTTGTAATTCATCATGACTTAACAAATCAAAATCATCTATAATTGCACTCAACATTATATTTATCTATATATTACTTATTTAGATCTTTTAAGGATCAATCGATCAATTGACTTTATATTGTCTTACTATTTATTTGGAAATAGAGCATAACAGTTCCTTTAAGAAAAACTAAAAAGTCTTTTAAATCTAGTGGCCCCCCCCCGCTTCTCTACATTTACTCCTTCTCTTCTAGTCTCCAACCTGCTTCCTTTCTCTTCTAAGACTTAATGAATAACTTTAGGAAAGCCTTTTCATTTCTCCATTCTATTTTAGGACTTCCTAGCAGGACGCCTCCAAAAAATTTCCTCTAAAAAAACAACAAAAACACAAAACAAAACCAAATAAAAAAATACCTTGAGGCCAATGAGGGTAAGAATAGGATTTGATTCACTGATGTACGTATATACATACATAACTTAAATAAATTAATTAAATGAAATCCAGAAACCTCATTCAGATTTTCCCTAAATTTCTAATACGAACTTCTCTCAAATTATATAAACGTTTTCTTAAACACCAGGTGAAAGATAATTCCTCCAACTCAAGATTGCAGTTCCTTGGTTTCTTTAATTACTAAAATTGCAATGGTATTATTTCCTTCTAACTTTCAAAACAGAAATAGTCTCTAATACATTAAATAATTGTGGGTTAGCCTTGGAATACAAATTCAGTTCAAAGAACCCAAGAAAAATGTAACATTTTTTCCTATGGAGAAACAAAACCTATATTCCTAGTGATGAACTTTTAAAAAACATAACCTTTAAACCCAACTGGGGAATGCTTATATATAGAAATTTTAGGTACAATGTAATAAGTTGAAGGAAATTTACAGATTCAGAATAAGTTTTTTACATAATGTTATGGTCCAAATGTTTCTGTCCCATCCAAAATTCATATGTTGAAATCCTAACCTCCCAAAAGTGATGGTAGTAGGAGATGGGGCCTTTGGGAGACAGCCATTAGAGTGAAACCCTCATGAATGGGATTAGTGTCTTATAAAAGGGACTCCAGAGAGATCCCTAGGCCCTTCCACCATGTGACAGCCCTCACTGGACCATGCTGTCACCCTGATCCTGGACTCCCAGGCTCCAGAACTGTGAGAAATAAACTTCTGTTGTTTATTAGCCTCTGGTATTTTGCTATAGCAGCCCAAAAGGACTAAGACATACAACAATCAAAGAAATGTTTGCTAACAATCTATAATTCTTAATTTTACACCCACTCATCTTCTCTAGTCAAAAGCCCTTCCCCATTAAAATTATTATAAATTTGTTACTTGAGAAGAATCCTTAAAATGGCTCCTATATTAGTTCTCAAATTAGTAAACTCTAAATCAATGAGATTTTATGATGCATCAGTGTGATCCCAGCAATTTGGAAGCTATGTGCTTCTCAAATTCTTTTAGTGTATTTTCATGAAAAGCTATATATATAGAATGGCCACTGCACATTGCTGTCCAAAAATAGAAAACAACAAGAGATGAACAAGAGAGATACTAAATAGCTGTGGTAGCCAGCTTCCAAGGCAGCCCCAAAGATGCTCGTCTTCTGGTATTTCCACCCTCAATGAATAGGTCACCACTGTGTAAACAACAGGATACTGCATTAATGGTAGAGCGTGACACCTGAAGCTAGATCACAAGGACGTTGTGGCTTTTGCCTTGCTTTCTTTAGGACTCCTCACTCCAAGTAAATCAGCTTCTTGTTTTGTGAGCGCAGCCCATGTGGCGAGGAACTGAGGCTCCTTGCCAACAACCAGTGCTAACTTGCTGGGCATGTGAATGGGCCATTTGAGCAGTGGACCCTCCAGCCCCAGTCAAGCCTTCAGATGACTGCAGCCCAGCCAGATCCAGAAGCAGACCCACGCAAGTTAGCCAATCTCAAATACCTTCCCCACAGAAACTGTTTCAGAGAACATTGTTGTTTTAAGTCACTAAGTGTTGGTGTAATCTGTAAGGCAGCAATAGATAATACAGCAAGTAACACAGTAAAGAGTGAGCAATTGATCATTTCAGTTTCTTGAAAGTAGATAAAGTTTTTAAAAATGTGACAAGTGCAGAGATGTAAAAGTAAGGAAGCCCCGTGGCTTAGGAAACATGAGTAAGGAGAACCTGCTGAATCTCTCCAGGGTAAGGAATCTCTCTGAAGGAGCAAAAGGCAATCTCACAGGAAAAATAAAATACTGGGATAGAAAATACTTAGGAAGTTGGTAGTGCTTTTCAAAGTCATGACACAAACTTTCTTGGTTTTGTTTTTTGTGGGTTTTTCTTGTTTGTTTTGTTTTGTTGCTGAACAATATTGTAGCCATTAGGATTCCACTGCCCCCATTTAAAAAATTACCATCTGCCTAACCCAGCCCCTGTGAAAACTTCTGATCTTGGATTGCTGATCGATGTTTCAAAACCTAGGAGAGCCTCAAGTAGCAATGGATAAATTAGTGGACTGAAACAAAAAGATCACAACTTGATCATGTATAGTTTTAATCCTGACAATTCAGGTCTCAAATAATAAAGCCCAGTTATTTAGACATGTACTTCTCATTTCTATTCTTCCACAGAACATTTTGAAGTTTAATCTATGTACTTAGAGAAGCCTCTGGTAGTTTAAAAAACCAAAACATGGAGGGGGACCTTCAAGATGTTGGACGAGTAAGACATGGAGATCACCTTCCTCCCCACAAATACATCAAAAATACATCTACATATGAAACAACTCCTACAGAACACCTACTGAACACTGGCAGAGGACCTCAGACTTCCCAAAAGGCAAGAAACTCCCCACATACCTGGGTAGGGCAAAAGAAAAAACAGAGACAAAAGAATAGGGACAGGACCTGCACCTCTGGGAGGGAGCTGTGAAGGAGGAAAAGTTTCCACACACTAGGAAGCTGCTTCACTGGTGTTGGGGGTGGGCTGGGAGGAAGCTTCAGAGCCAAGAAGGACAGACAGCACAGCAACAGGGGTGCGGAGGGCAAAGTGGAGACATTCCCACCCAGAGGACTGGTGCCGACCAGCACTCACCAGCCTGAAGCATGTCTGCTCACCCGCCGGGGCGGGTGGGGACTGGGAGCTGAGGCTTGGGCTTCGGAGGTCAGACCCCAGGGAGAGGACTGGGGTTGGCTGCATGAACACAGCCTGAAGGGGGCTAGTGCACCACAGCTATCTGGGAGGGAGTCCAGAAGAAAGTCTGGAACTGACTAAGAGG